ACAGGCTGCCGGACCCGGTGCAAGCCAGGATGGAGCAGTCCCGGTTTGTGCTGATCCAGGACACTGCGCCTCTGGATTTTAAATGTGGCAAGAGCCTATTGGCTCTTACTACATTTTAAATGCAGAGCCGCAGTAGTCCAGAGCCGGCACGAGCCGGGATTGCTCGGTCCCAGCTCCAGCCAGCTCCCACCGCAGCTCTGCGGAGGGCCCCCTTATCGACTAATCATGTAGTCGATACAAATTGTATCGAGTACACGAGTAGCCAGAGAATCGCAATGTAACATCCTTATTCTGGACCAGGCCAGTTAGTTAGATCCCTTGGTGGGGAGCAATGAGCTTTCAGGAGAGAACATACCGGGGTTCGGCTGCCTTCTCCAAGAGGTGCTGCAGGAGGGAGGGGGGTTGTGACTGTCCAGTGCAGGGTGGCCCACACGTTCCGGGCAAAGAGCCAAGATAGCAGTGGATCCAGTGCGAAGAGCTGGGGCAAAGTTGTCGAGGGGGGAAAAAAGGGCCTGCCCCTTTAAGAAAATGCGTTTAGAGGCTTTTTGACGACATCAGGTTCCCACCGGCCACCACCGCCTTTGATACTCCATTTTTAATGGCCGCTCCAGACGGCTCCCTTGCCCCGGTGAGCACAGGGGGGCCGGAGGAGAAGGCCGTTTTCAGGGGCGCATGTGCGGCTTTACGAGCTGCTGGGTGGGAGCTTCATGATCCGCACCCTGAGGGTGGGGAAGAGCCATGGGTTGGCCACGGCTGGTCTAGCGAGCCTGACTTAGCCCCTAGGAAAGCGGGAGGAAGCAGTAGTGAGAACACCTTGCTGGCAGGGGTCCTGTGCTGTGCGTGCACAATCCTGCCGGAGCAATGCAGGGGGAATTTTCAGTGCTTCAAATGAAGGTGCTACCATAGCAGAAACCAGCTGATTTTTTGCATAGCAGAAAATCAGATCTCTCCGATCTACTGTATGTCTGGACGTGTGTCCATGGACAAGTGGCTAAGCGAGAACCTACCCTGCCGCTGGCCCATGTTGGAGAGGAGATACTGGGCTAGATGGGCCCTTGGTCTGATCCAGCCTGGCCGTTCCTATGTTCCTGCCTTAGTTTAGCTAGACGGCCACCTCCCCCACTCTCTGCTCCCCCCACCCCGGTAGAGGGCGGGTGATGGGATGGTCACATGAATGTCTGCTCATGCTTCTCTTGTCAGCTGCATCAGGCCCAGGAGGAGGAGGTGAAGGAGCTCACTCAGATCCGGGACTCCCTCCGAGGCATCCTGCAGCTGGAGAACAAAGAGGTGAGGCTCCTGGCCTGTCCTCCCATGGCGCCTGGCCGTGAAGGAGCCTAGCACAGCCTGGGGTGTAACCAGCAGAGTCAGAGCATCCCACCTTGGATTTCCCACCGAGAGACGCAGGCCTGTTCCCCTTCGACTTCCCCAGGGTAGCCAGGAGCAAGCAGAGCTGCGGCCAGTAGCCTCCCCAGTTTGCAGGAGGGGGTGTCGGGGCCGACGAGGGGTGAGACCATGAGGGTGAAGGTGGGCTGTATGGCACCATAGTTCACAAAACTGGGGGGTGTTGGGGAAATTCAGGGAGGGTATACGCCCCCATGGGGGAGGGGATAGGGAAATCCCTGGCTGCGGCAGGTGGGTAGATAGAACAGGAATGGATCCAACGCCCATTGAAATCAGCGGAAGGGCTCGGCCTTCCAGGGCGGCAGAGACAAGCAGAGCTTAGCCACTGGCAGCGAAGTGGTGGCTGGAGCCGAGGGAGACGGTGGGGTGCACCCAAGGGGGCAGGACAGGAGGGAGGCCGAGGGCTCAGCATGGAGACTGCATTGATGCCACGGGGGAGGAGAGAATCCAGGCCTGGCAGCAGGTTTCAGGGGATTCTCCAGGTGGCCATGATAAAGCTGGAGGGCGTTTGGGGGTGCTGAGGACAACATAAGGAGGATTTGGGCTCTTCCCTGCTGGCCCCGTCCTGCAGGATCAGGCCTTGGGAGGGCAAGAGGGCGGCAACGCTGCAAAGAAACCGACCCTGAGGCCTGCGCTCTGAATATTTATTTATTTTACTTCTGTCCTCGGTGGGATTCTCCAGGTGGCCATGATAAAGCTGGAGGGCGTTTGGGGGTGCTGAGGACAACATAAGGAGGATTTGGGCTCTTCCCTGCTGGCCCCGTCCTGCAGGATCAGGCCTTGGGAGGGCAAGAGGGCGGCAACGCTGCAAAGAAACCGACCCTGAGGCCTGCGCTCTGAATATTTATTTATTTTACTTCTGTCCTCGGTGAGTCCAGGAAAACCTGCACAGGAAGAACTCTGGCAGCGGCTACAGCATCCACCAGCACCAAGGGAACAAGCAGTACGGGACGGAGAAGTCAGGTTTTCTGTCCAAGAAAAGCGACGGGTGCGTAGGAGCTGGCTCCGGTTTCAGACGGAGTCTTCCTGTGCTCAGAGCTAGCTGATGGCCATGGGAAGGCTATAGGCTGTAGGCTGTAGGACGGGGCTGTTGAAGGGATGCAGGAAGGATCAGGGGCTGGTTCCGTGTGGGCCATGCAGGTGATCAGACTTGGAAGGGCCTAATGGGTCTTTCTGGCTTTTAAATATCCGAGTCCTGGAAAGCCCTCGTGTCTTTGCCCTGTTCCTGCCCTGGCACCCTGGGAAATTCACACTCCACCCCCAGCGTCGTCATAGCCACTCTGTTCGTCTGCCCCACCCGAATTCGAAAGGATGCCTGCCAGCTGCTGGGTGGAAATTCCATTGACTAGTCCAGTGCTTCCCAAACTTTTTGATACTGGGGACCAGTAAAACCATTCACAAGCTTTTGGAGGACTGGTAATATTTACTTGCATATTAATTAAGCAAATGATGAATATGCAAATAAATCCTGTTAGCCACTCTGTTCGTCTGCCCCACCCGAATTCGAAAGGATGCCTGCCAGCTGCTGGGTGGAAATTCCATTGACTAGTCCAGTGCTTCCCAAACTTTTTGATACTGGGGACCAGTAAAACCATTCACAAGCTTTTGGAGGACTGGTAATATTTACTTGCATATTAATTAAGCAAATGATGAATATGCAAATAAATCCTGTCGCTGGCCTTACCTGTCTGGCAGGTTGTTCCCCCCCTTTGCCCCAATCCTGGCCGCTTTATCAGCCAGTGCCAGCTCCCCTGGCTGCGTCCGGTGCTGGGTGTTCTGTGTTGGTGCGCACGGTACCCGGCCTTCTCCCTGGGTCCTAGTGCCCGCCGGATCTAGCCCCACTGCCACTGCCCGGGAGCATGCCCGGCAGAGATGCCACGGTGGCGGGCTCTCTCCCAAGAGGGCCGTGCCGCTGCACTTGGCAGTGCAGGGTGCTGCTATCCCGTCACACAAATTAATAGGATTGTGCTCAATGATTTTTTTTAAGGACCAGTATTTTTTTTCTAAGGACCAATACCGGGCCACGGACCACACTTTGGGAAACGCTGGACTAGTCGATTACTTGATTAAATGCAATCTAGTGGATGGACCTGTAGCTGGGATCCTTTGGGATGACTTGGGGAAAACCAGAACGAGGGGGTTGGCTGGCTCGTGGGCTAAGATATGCAGCCTGGACCAGGACTCCGAGCTGGGTTACTACCAGACCAGAAGTCCTCCCTCTGTTGCCAGCTGATGTCGATTCAAAGTCAGGTTGGAGATGATTTGGTGGCATCAGTTCATTTCTTACACTGGAGCGTGGATGCCTCCGTCCCATGCAAGCCCTGTCCAAGCCTGGCACTAATTGCTACCCGCGTAGGGAGCATCCACAGAGAGGCCAGCGCCTGATGGAGAGGAATTTGTCCCAAGATGTCCTATTAGGGCAGGACTGGGGCTGGGTGGTACAGTCGCCTACTCTGCAAGCATCTCTCCTGGACTTCAGTTTCCATGGTTACCAGCCTGGCACCAAATTCGCTGTGAAAAGGGAAGGCCGGTTCTATGGCCGCAGCAGGCTGCTTTCTCTGGCGAGAAGGAAGGGTCTAAGCTGTGTTCGTGGGCCAACAGCTGGTGCAAGGAATGCCTCCGGCAGTTGGGGGCACCTGCAGGGATTGAGGGAAGGGAGGAGACACTCGGAGCAAAAGGAGAAGGCTGAGGCAGCCGGGGCAGTTGAGCTGGGCTCAGAGGGTATTTTCCATCCTGGGAGCTAAAGGAAGCACAACGCTCACTCAGCGAACGATGCTCCCCAGTAAAGCACGTCCCCGAGAGCGGGTGATGGGCGTCCTCGTGGTGGGGGGAGGAGCTGGTTATCAGGCACTCGGTGGCCCCTCATTCCCTTTTCTCTGCCTGACCTAGAATCCGCAAAGTGTGGCAGCTGCCTCACCATCTCCCACAGCACGGTAAGGCCAAGTGCCGGGCGCCGGCTCCTGGGCGGGCCTGGGGTTCTGCCCCCCACAGCCCGCGCCTCACAAAGGAGCTTGTGGTACTGGGGGAAACCTTTTAGCTGAAGGATCAGGCTGCACCTTTCATGCCATGGTCCTCACGCGTGTCTGAGCAGGGACGTTTACAAAAGTAAACACTTGCGAATGTGTGTCTGCTGATTTTTTTCAGTGTTACCTGTTTACACATGGGGGGGCACCAGCCCCTGCCTCCCCCCCCCCCCCCCTCCCTACTGCTGCCCCACATGCACTGCCTGCCCTCCCACCCTCCGCTCTCCTGCCTCTCTATCAGAGGGGAGGGTAGGTGGGCAGGTGGTACACACACGAAGCCAGCTCCCTGCGTGTGCCCCCACCGGGACCCGATGCTGCTTCTTGAGGGAGGCTGCAAGAGGAGGGGGCAGGCACCAATGTCGGGTGAGGGCTCCACGGGAGGCAGCAATGGGGGAAGGGTGCGTGTAGTCTTTGGGATTAGCTGACAAGCCCAAGGTTATCGGTTAATCGTGTAAATGACGACACGCTAAGATCCTGAGTGGGAAGGGGCACTGTCTGCTTGTCATCTCAAAGCACCGTACAGACCTGTGCAAAGGTCGACTGGCTTTTTTTCCCCCTGGAATCCATCTGATCCCTGAATCTGTGCGTCCTCCAAATGCATGTTCAGAACTCTGCCCGTGTTTGCTTGGGACTCCGGTGCATTACACTTTTGGTAAACGCTGCCCAAGCTTGGGATTTGAAACACCCGGATGGGTGAATCAGAACAACTTCACCTTCCGCAAACAAGTCGGAGAGGGCAAAAATCTGCTGGACGAAGTTTGTGATGACTTTTTCAGGGGGAGAGCAGAAATGATGCCTCTGGGGGTGTGTCTAGACCTTTCGACAGAGGGATTTCAATTAGGCATTTCGAACTTGCAAATGAAGTGGGGATTTGAATTTCCCGTGCTTCATTTGCATCATCGCGTCATGGCGCTCTTTCAGAAAAGCGCTATTTCGAAAGTAAAACTGCAGTCTAGACACGGTTCTTTCGAAAAGGGAAACCTCCAAAAATGAGGTTTACAGGATCTTTTGAAAAAGACTTCCACTTTCGAAAGATCCGCATCTAGACGGCAGTTTTATTTCTGAAATAGCGCTTTTTCGAAAGAGCGCCATGACGCGATGATGCAAATGAAGCGTGGGAAATTCAAATCCTGGCTTCATTTGCAAGTTCGAAGTGCCTAATTGACATCTCTCTGTCGAAAGAGGGATGTCGTCTAGACGTACCCTGGGTTCCGAAACTTTAGGCAGAAAGAATGGCTGCCCTCTAGAGGCAGGGGAGGTAAAAGGCCGCTTAAAAGCAGAATGCTACACACACTGTAAGGCAGAAAAAGGGCTGTGGCTTTAATTCTTCTGCAAAAGAAGGTTCAGCGGGATTCTAAGAGGGCTTGGGAATTTCTGTAGATAAGAAGATTCTCTGGAGTTAGTGTAGCTAATGCGAGCCCAAATGCGAGAGGACTTTTAATCTGTAGCTGAGATTATTATCCCTGTTCTTTAAATAGGGAAACTGAGGAACAGAGAGGGGGAAGTGACTTGCCCAGCATCAGCCAGCAGACCAGTGCAGAGCTGGGAATAGGCCCCAGGTGTCTTGAGTTCCAGCCCAGTGTGCGACCAGTAGGCCGTACTGCTACCTCAGTCTTTCAGCCAGTCCTGGGCTATTGGAGATGTGGGAGAAGAGGATCCCACAGCTTTCTGCTGCTGGGTGCTTGCATCTTCCTCAAAGGGCACCCACTCTCCTCCTCCCACAGATAAACCGGCCTCCCGTGAAGCTGAACCTGTTGACCTGCCAAGTGCGACCTCACCCGGAGGAAAAGAAGTGCTTCGACCTTGTGACACGTGAGTGGGGGAAGGGACGTGGGGGGGGGGGGGGGGGGGGGA